ATCCCAATGGCACGGCCACATCCAACACCCCAAAAACACGACTCTCCAAACGCTAATCCCAATGGCACTGCGCAGCAAACTGCGGATCTCACAAAACGCTGCGCCTGTGCAGCGAAATGCATCACGTTTCTTGCGCGACATGTCGGTGTCATGCAAATCACAATGGAATAGCGACGCAAACTGACACGTGACACGTCCATGCAAAGTCCCTTGCAAAAGCTTCCCCCAATGGCAGCAAATTTGAGACGCGACGACGACGACAAACGACGAGAGACGACGACAAACGACGAGAGACGACGAGAGACGACGAGAGACGACGACACGACGCAAGCCACGCGAACACAGCTCCAACCCCCAGACCCCCAACTATAAACGGGAACCCTTCGCCACGCATTCGGGAATAATACACACATGAGAGCACACATAGGAGACCCCATGTAGGAAAAAACAATATAAAGGAACATTTGCATGAGGGTGCCCAAAAACAATGCCAGAACACACGCAGTATGAAAACACACTTGTTTGGCAGCATCGATCCGATCTTATCATGTCAAACGCCAGAGTGATTTACGTGAGCGGGGGGCACATATTCCGAAGTTTAGGTTAGAGCTGAGGCCAGACTGACTTGGAACAAGCAAAGGCGGCTTTCTTCCTCTGAGGCATGAGCCCCGCAGTGGCCCAGAGGAAGAGCCCCAACGTGGCGGATTGGGGGGAAGCATGAGAGTCTTCAGAAGAACATCCGCTGAAGCAAGTCAGGAAAGGTAGCTTAGTAAAAGGGGTAGCTTGAACAACCTGTTTGGAACCAAAAAGTGAAAAATGAATTCTATGGGCCCCGGCCCTGTTCCCCCTTTCCGTAGCGACTTATCATCACCAGGATCACCGCAGCATGACGCCTATTCACTAGCACCAACAGCACTGCCCCCGTAAAGAGGTTGCGCCACAGTTTTCACGCCACGCATGAACTTCCACAGTGTTGACACAGCACGTGCAGCTTTGTGACAAAACAGTACTTACACACACACACAAACACACATTCACACGCACCAACGTCTGCACCCCACAACTTTTGCGCAAACCATAGCTTTACGCAAACCAGCGTTGACACAACACAGCTTCTACGCAAAGAGATGTTTACAAACCTCCACGCTCGCCAGACCACACCACATCCTGTGCTAACCTCCACCTTTGACACCCGACTGCGTTTGCACGAAGCAGTTTTTAGCAGCCACAACTGCTGTTACACAACCCTGTGTTTAGACACCATGGTTCTACACATATTTGCGCGAAACAGTGCTTACAATCCGCAGTGTCTACGCTTGCGCAACACAAGGTTTACATAAGGCCCTTCTTGCACACACCACCGTTTACACACGAGTTTCTACACAAAGCAGCGTTTACACTGCAACATTTGCATGAACCCCTGTGCACGACAACGACTATAATTATCACACCATTCCCTGGTAAATTTCTACCTTTCATGTTGCCCTTTCGCATATTCCCGTCTATGCAATTGAACAGGTGGTGGTTTGCGCAAAGTCGCCCTCATTAGAGCGCAGAGCGCGCGCCGTGACAACAGACAATGTGCGGAGAGCGCCCTCCATCCCCATGCAGGCCATGTGGAGCGCCAAGAGTTTGTATGTGGTGTGATCATGGTGATGAGTGGTGCGTTGACCTGTCCATCAGCAGAGCACGCATATTATGAGTGAGCACAGGCATGAGAACACACCGAGAAAAGCATATAGGTGAGAGCATAGCTGTGAAAGGTTCACACGTTATGGTGGCTGCCACGAAATCTGTGCTTTTGGATCTGCACTTCGAGGTCGCAGGTCACTTCAAAATTTACAAAGTGCTTCGCCTGCTATGGAACCCGTGTTCGAGGTTCATCAAGTGTTGCGCATGCTCCATATAGGCTCCAAGAAACCTCGCACGAACTGGGCCACACTTTCCTAAAACTGAAAACGCTACACCTGTGAATCTTCGAGGTTCACAAAGTGCTGTGCCTGCCTCAGGTTTTATAAGTGCTTCCCCTACCGGGAAATGTTCGCAATGCTGCGTCTGCTGCGAAATCTGCGCTTTCAGGCTCGCCTGTCACGAAACCTGCACAGACTTCCAGGTTTGCAAAGTTCTGGGCCTGCCACGAAATCCGCGCATCAGAATTCACATAGCGCAGCCCTGCCAGCGATTCGCAACAAGAGTGCCTTCAAAAAAAAACATAGAGATTGTAAAACAAAGGTTTCGCGCAATACTACTCCCAAATTCGGAAAATGAACCCCATGTCCAAAGATCACGATTCACTACACCTGCCACGAAATCAGAGCCGCTGCCACCGCCCGTAAGCACCCTCGATCAAAGCCAGCCCTGAACACTTCCCGTAAGAACCCCTAATGTGACCACACGGTGTAGGGAACAGATAAGCAAAGGAGCAAGCAAGCAAACACACACAATATTATATAAATTAATGTTATTTTAGAACATATGTGGGAGGGTTTGACGGTAAGGGAACCTGTGCCAGATGCAGGGATTCCAGCTTGCACACCAAGGAGGTCCAGTATGCGGTTGAACTGGCGGTTGCCCTTCTTGCTGTTGAATTTTGTTTCATGTAGTTTTCTTCATCATACCAAACGGGCTATCATTACACTTTTGTTCGGGCACACTTTTGCTTTATGTAGTTTGGCTACTAACATTTCACCAAGGCCCCCCTTCCATTCTACATGCGTATTAACTTCGGGGGGCTTGCTTGTTCCATAGTTGCATATCTGCTTCATTTTGATGCAGGTTCACCTGCCATGTCTCCTGCACAGCTTTCGATGCCCTGGTAACGCCTGGCCTGTGCAGTATGGCTGATTCAAGTTTTGTGCATAGATCATATTATGTAAAAAAGTATGGGGAAGAGGCCACCAACATTGCAGTTGACCGTTCTTTGGCGCATGTTTTCGCTGTGTTGGACTATCCCAGCACATACATGTTTAATGTAAGTGTGTTGATGTGCATCCGTTCCACATTTTTTCTCAAAGAATCCTGACAATGAAGCAGATAGGGAGATCAATATTCCCAAACGATGTGAACCGGTCATTATTAACAACATGTTTGATCAGGCTTGTTGCAAGGGAGCTTTAGCTGACCAAAATATCTAATGCATGTGAAGGACGTGGCCGTGGTCGTGGCCGTAGCAGCCCCGTCGTCAGCTGTACCAACGAGTTCAAAGCATGAGCTGAAGGATGACTTTATAAGATGATTTCCAAGGTTCGTCTCACTGGGGCCATGACAACCGGCACGTGATGAAAGCAGATGCGCATTGCTTGGTGAGGGCAGATGTTTTCAATATTTTTCAATATCCAAGCAGTGTAATATATATATATATATATTGTGTCCTTTCACTCCTAGCTTGCTGAAGGCCTTGAAACCGCGGCGTGGAAGCTGGGGACGCTTTGGCTCGGTATTGGAAGAAAGCAATGAACCATCATAACATTCCTTTGAATATGAATTATGTGGATTATATGAGTATATGCACGTAGCGCCCATGTTTAAGGGCACTGATCGTTTATTTTTACAATGTTTTTCACCAACTCTGAGATTCGGGGTTAGGTCTTCGGTTTCTGGGGTGTGGATTTCATGTACATACAATTGCGCACGTGTAAAATATGTAATAATGTAATTGTCGATACCTATGTATTATGCAGAAACCATTCTGCCAGCCAGTTTGTGCGACACAACGGTGCCAGCAGAATAAAAACCACTGGAACTCCTGGTAAGAATGTACCCTGTTCCTACTGGTGAAAGAGCATTCCTTGTAGCGAGAAGAACAATGATTAGCATACACCTCTTTCTTGCACTGCGAGGCAGAGAAACCAGAGATGCCAAAGGCAAAGGAAAAGGGAAAGGACACAAAGGCACCCGAGCCGCAATTTATTGTGGGAATTGGTTGGTGCTCGTTCAAGCTTAGCAACAGCATGACGCTGTTTGCCAATTGGTCGGAGTTTGGCCAGGGATTTTGCAAGGATTAGACGCCCACCCCTGCACCACGCTTCAATGCTTACTTGGCCTATTTTGCTTGGAGAGACCCCCCACACTCTATCCACCTTCCCACCAGATTTCCCATCGCATCAAATATCTTGGACATATCTCGCGCGCCCGTCAATCCTTTCGGTGCTTTGACTGAAACCCACCATCGGCATCGCCTCTCCGAATTGCTGCAAGCACCCTCTTCATGCGGACTTTACATGACTTTACGAGCCAATGTAGCGCACAGCAACTGTTGATCTCCACAAAGAGCACCAAGATCCTTCATGCCCACTTGGCTGACAGCAGCCGGTATCGTCCAATTGCTCCTCCCACGCAAGACAGGCAAACTTGGTCCAAACTTGTTTACCTCCATGTGCCCTTGTGCTGCTGTCATGTAGCCCCTTAGATTGCATCACGCGTGACAAAATGGCTGAACACCTCCCTTGAAGCGGGCCAATTCATGCAAACGAACTTGTGCATGAGTGTGGTCAAGAAAGTTTGGGGCAAACAAGCATTCTTCAGCGGCCGAGAGGCAGCACATGGTTGCGGAGGCTTCCGTCGCCTGCCATCACATGACGAAGGGCCAATAACGGGTGCCAGCGCGCCCCCTCAAGGATCTGAATCGTTCGACCACCCTGACTCTGACACTTGCATCGACAAGTTCAACGACTCCTGCCACACTGAGTGAGATACTCGCACAACAAATGGCGGCGCGATGTGGGGAGTTTGAGCACACCCCGGTTCCAAGCCCGCTGCGCACTGAAGCTAGTGTGTGCCAGTCTTGATGGCTTTGTTGATGCTTTCCAGCGGCAACGAGCCAGCACGAGGCCAGCCATAACCTTCCTGAGCGGCAGATTGAAGTATATGGCACGCATACCCATGCATTGTCCGGAGCCCTTTTCTGTTTCTCCTTGAGCACAGGGTGTTGCCACGGCAGCCTACATTCACCCGCCCCGCGCTGGCGGCCAATCATGGCATCGAAATTCAAGCTACACATGGCAACCCCGCTGAACCCGAAGCCGACGAAGCTTCCGCAGCCAAGCCTTGAGTCAAGCCTTCTCCCATCGTTGCAAGGCGCCAATGCACCGCGCAGAGCCCTCGTACCATTTGCACCAAGAGGGAATGGTTTCCTCGGCCTTTTTTCAGCTTTCTTTGAAAAATTGAACGAATATCATACTGTATATATATATATATATAAACTTTTTGATTTGTGCAACGTTGGAGCTTGACAGGCCGAGAATGGCGCCCCAAAACGGTGGTCCGCGTGGATGCGGATGCGATTGGACGCCATTGCGAAGTACGCGGTGCACATGGCTCTTCCATCCAAGCAATGGCCAAAGCCTCAGACATGGAGCAGCTACTAACAAGTGCATCGCTACTAGTAGTAACAAGGTCATGCAGGCAACCTCACAATTATACAGCTGAAGTCAAGATACAAGGTTGAGTCGATGGATTTTTGTGGTGCGTTGTCCTTTTGTTAGATTTGTTCTGCGGCTGGGGACGCTTGACTTAGTATTTATATATATATATGTATATAAGTAATTTCTATCATGGCATGTTTGCTTTCAGCCTGGCTTGCCAGACCGCTTCTGTGATATGTACGGTTTCCTGATTCTTGCGATGCCATATTCCCTTTTCCAGGTTATGACCGAGCAAGGCATTTACACAGCGTCGCAGGACCTTGACCAGCTGCAGATGTTGTGCTTCTCGAGTCTGCTTGCACCGGTGAACAGGGCCGTGTTTGGACTCCAGCTGTGGATTGGCAGGACAAAAACTTGAAGCGCTGGAAGCCAAAGCTTTCGAGCACTGGAGTGTTCGAGCTTGAGGCTGAACTGACAGCGCGCAACTTAGACCACTTGACCCGTGATGCCTAAATTCAACGAGCATGAGAACCAACTACTCTTTGGAATGGGGTCACACTGTTATATCCCAGATTGCTTCAATCACGGCATCACTGCTTGACGTTTCTGAGCAGAGATGTCGTTACAGCAACAATCGCATCGCAATGGTTAATCTAAGGAACTTGCTCACATGTTGGCCAGCACTTGTTTTCCAAACAGGACCATGTAGCAGTATTTATTTGGACTAGAGGGGGGAGAGTCTCTGACATCTTAGGATTCTTGGATTCAGGTTGTAGGAAGGGATGTTTCCTTGGATTTCTTTGAGTACGTGAAGATCAGTGACCAAAAGACCAAGCTTCCAAACTCCAAACATGATCAGACCCCACAGCTGCGGGACGCTCAACCAATGGTGGATTGAAAAGAAGCAGCCTCACAAAACAAACATGAACTCCCGGTGTTAGTGGACACAAAGGGTGATCATTGATCATGACACAATGCGGCCAAGTTGGCTGATGACACCTGCCAAGACTGACATGAGAGGATCGAGGGTTGATTCGTTTGATTTGAGCAACTCAGTCTGCCGTGGGGAAGCTGCCAGTCGTAAACAAACACTAGTGCATGCAGGATCTGATTTGTATAAATAGTTATATAAATAGTTTTGTGCCAAGCCAATCTGAGGTGCCACTGCCAGATTCAGGGCATTCCCTTCTCTTCAGTGGTGGCTGGCTTTTCTGTGGCCTTTGGGATGGGCAGGCTGGCCAGCACGGACATGCCTCATGAATGTGTTATGCCGTGTCTTATGTCATATTCGCCTTGCACATGTTCAGTTCACAACACTTGAACATGTTTTCTGTGTAGAGCGCGCGGAGAACGCATACACCCCTTTAAGTCCACACATACTGAATGTGCGCTTTGGGCTGTGTTTCTCCATACCCCTTCCAAAAAGGATCGGAGCAGGTTCTGCCCAAAGCAAGTTGTGGAGCAGGTTGAAAGGCAGCCTTCCAAGACTGCAAGTTCTACATACATTGACATACACGCACATTATATATATAGTATATTGCTTCTGCTGGACTGCATTATGCATTAGATCCATTAGATGTGGCATTGGTGGTTTTGGGACAGTTTGCTTGCAATGCATGCGAGAGTCTCCATGCGTATGGGAGTCTCCAATTCATCTACGGTGCTACTGTATGACATTCTTGATGGTCCTGGCATTTGCTCGATGTGATTGCTCATGTTTCTACAAAGGTGCAAGCTTTCGCCCAAGATGGTTCTGTGTCAGTCCTGAAAGGGCACAGCAAGAGAGCTTGGAGCATAGATGTTCCAGCCACATGGTGCATTTCTTTGTTGACCTTTTCCGCTCTATTTTGTGGAGTCGCAGGTGACCCTCCATGTGCATGTTTGTGACATGCCTGTCAACACTTGCTGCTTGCATGTTTGTTGAGTTGCTTCTTACCCTCATATCATGGCTGCAGCTACAGAAGAGAGGTGTTCCTTCCGGGCTGAAGGTTACGACGCTTGCAGTTCACCAGGGTGTTTTGATGCTCGCAACTAAGTGTTGTTGAGTGCAAGGTTTGTAAGCAAAGCCGCAGACCAAGCGCTTTGCATTGAGGTCGGGCAGTGCCGACAAAGAGGTGCGACTGTGGCAGATGGACCCCGCGGCGAAGACATTCAACTGCACCCATGCGATTGAGGCAAGGTGTGTCAGCATCTCTTGTGTGTTCCCTGTTGCGCGTTTGCCTTTGAAACTTTTGGATCTTTTGTTCCCTGGGTTGGTTGTAGCCGAGTGATCTGAGCTGAACCCATCCGTCATCCGCCGATCCCCAGCAGTTGAAGCGCTTTGCATCCAGACGCGGTGCGTGCCCCTGTGCGCATCAATCTCAGGCGCCTTGGACTTTGACCGCAGCAGCAGCACCACCACCAGCAGCAGCAGCAGCAGCTTGTTTGCCACAAACTTTCAACGGCACTCTGACCAGTAGGTCACCACAGGCATGTCATGGCAGCAAAACTATGACATGACATTGCTGGCAGCAATGCAAACTGGGAAAGAACATGTTATATAATTTCCTCACCCGGTTGGAGAAAGGACACCTCAACATTCTACATAGCAGAGGCCGAGAATGCGCAGTTTCTACCCAGCCAACGTAGGAAAAGATGCTGGCTTCCTACCCAGAGAAAGAGAAGCTCACAGATCCGTTGGCAAGTGCTTGAGCTACTAAAGCTCGGACCCATGTTGAATGAACTGATTTGGAAGTTCCACAGCCGAGGGTTGTGTGAGGCTGTATCGCGCGTGCGAACATCTATACACGCCGAAGGTCCAATTGTAGTGGCTGGTAGCTGCGCACATACACAAAGATCCGGTAAAAACATGTTACGTAGGCTGCTGGGCGCATCAGCTGTTGGGAAAGGAAAGAAACACTTGCTTGATAGATTGTACATGACGGAGGGTCCCCTTTTCGACCCCATTTTGTTTGAGGCGTCGTTGTGCATTTGGCATGTTCGTGCATGCTTGACTGCCTCGTGCATGCCCATGTATGCCTGCAGGGTGTTGGAATATTTATTGCATGTGCAGAGTCAACGTGCAGGTTGAAAACCCATGATACAGTGTAAGCACCAAAAAGTACAATGCAGAAGCAAAAAACCAGTGACACCAGATCTGCCTGCCATGCTCGAGAAATGGCATTGGCAAGGCAGAGAGTGTCTCAAAAATGTGGCTCTAATGTCATGCGCAAAGTGTGGGTGCGACACATCACGGGGCAGATGCAGGAGCGGTGAACCAACCTTTAAAGAAGGGGGCAGAACTAGATTGAACTACTATGTTTGCTCAGTTGCAGTGAAAAGAAGCTTATGGAGATTCTGCGCGGTCGACTGTTACATACTGTTACTATTAGAGTTACTTTGGAGTTGCGGAGAACATCGTTCACAGGCTTGTAGATGTTTGTTGTTTGTGTGTTTGCGCATGTCACCTTGCTATCGCTCCATGAGCACCTTGCAAACTCCGAATGTGGACAGGCCTTGTCCGTACATGTTACACGATACCACATACCTTTCTGTGCCTATCGCCAACTTTTTGCCATTTGGCAGATGGGAGAGTTCAGATTAAACAAACGGTTATGATGTCGGGATTTCTCATTGAGAAAACGTAAACCAGGTCCACAGTTTCGCGTTTGGGTTCTGGGGCTTGTTCTAGCGCTTCAAAAAGCACTCCTCGCCTGCAAGGAGAGCTTGCCGTTGCCTTAGGGTGCAGCATCGAAACCTTGCTCACGTTACAGCTTTCTAGCCGAGGCCGGGGCCTATCAGCAAGATTCATGTTCTTGGAAACCACTTGTTTGTTGCGGGCTCAGGGTTGATCGGATGTGGCAATGCGGATGTCCAAAAACCAAACTCTCATTATATAACTGCTTGGTCTCCAGGGGCGTCCAGGGGCTTTTTGGAAACTGGTGAAGAACAACCCCGACAATTGCAGCATTCCCGCTTCTGGTTTTGCTCATCCTTTGCTTCACTATTGTTGCCATTCGGCAAGCGGTTTACTTGGTACGTACTGTATTGTTTGTAAGGTCGGGGGCCTCTATGGCTTGGCCATGTTAGACCTCGCCACGCTGAAGGCCAAGCAAGCTAATTTGACTCTGTGTCGACTGTTTTGAGAACATTGCTTGTGCTCAATGGTCCAAGCAATCAAATCCAGAGCGCCAAGATGGGAGGTTACGAAGCTTTTGCCTCCCACGAAAGCTGTAACAGACCTGCTGGAGTTCCAGGGCCACATCATTGTGGCTTCTTGCTTGGAACCACTTGCTGATCAAATCATGCAATGAAGTTGAGTCAAGCACTCCAAGGTATTTTTGAGACGATTTCTTCAGCTTCGATGATTTTGTGTGATTTTGTGGCATCACACGTTTGAGGCTTATTCAGAGGGAATGATCAAAATTTTCGATGCGGAGGGCAACCAAAAGTCTGAGAAGTCCTTGGACGCTGGGCCAATCCTGAGACTGGACATGGCCTGAGAACACCTTCAGAATCACATGGGCAGAGAGTGGGCGAAAGAAAGAGAGAGAGAGAGAGAGAAAGAGCGAGAGAGAGAGGGAGAGAGAAAGAAAGAGAGAGAGAGAGAGAGACAGAAATAAATAAACAAATATATAAAGAAAGAGAAAGCAAGAAAGAGAAAGAAAGAAAAGAAAAGAACAGAACAGCACAGCACAGCACAGCACAGGACAGGACAGGACAGCACAGGACAGCACAGCACAGAGCAGAGCAGAGCAGAACAGAACAGAACAGAACCGAAGGAAGGCAAGGCAAGGCAAGGCAAGGCAAAGCAAAGCAAAGCAAAGCAAGACAGACAGACAGACAGACAGACAGACAGACAGACAGAAAGACACAAATAAGTAAAGAAAGAAAGAACAAAAGAAAGAAAGAAACAATTGAAGAAAAGAAAGACATGAAAGAAATAAAGGAAATGAAAGAAACCAAAAAAAAGAAAGACATGAAAGAAATGAAAGAAATGAACGAATTGAACGAAATGAACGAAATGAAATGAACGAAATTAAGAAAGAAATGAATGAAAGAAATGAATGAAAGACAGAAAAGAAAGAACGAACCAACGAACGAAGGAACGAAAGAAAGCAAGAACGGAATAACGAAAGAATGAAATACAGCAAGAAAGACAGAAATAGAAAAGTAAACATACAGAAAAATAAAGAACATATATAAAGATAAAGAAGGAAATGAATAAAGAAATAACGAACCAATGAACGAAGAAACTAAAGAAAACCAGAATGAAAGCAAGAAAGACACAAATAAATAGATAAAGCACGAAATAGATAAATAAATAAAACATGAAAAAAAAACTAAAAAGAAAGATAAAGACAGATAAAGAAAGATAAAGAAAGAGACAGATAGAGAAAGAAAGAAAGAGACATAAATATAGAGAAACATAAATACATAAAGGAATACATAGAGATAGTAATAAACACATACATAACAAAATGACAGAAAGAAAGAAAGAACCAACGAACGAACGAACGAACGAAAGAAAGCAAGGACGAAGGCAAGAAATAAATACAGACAGCAAGAAAACAAAGAAAGAAAGAAAGAACGAAAGAATGAAAGAAAGCAAGAAAGCAAGAAAGGAAGCAATAAACAAGGAAAGAAAGAATGACAGAAAGAAAAAAGGCAAGAAAAAAAGAAACAACTTACGAGTAAGTAGTTAAGTAAGTAAGTAATAGAGAGAGAGAGAGAGGGAGGGAGAGAATCGGCAGAATCGAGTAGAACAAATGAGACGGGTTAATTTTATAGTAGTGAATGCACGGCTTTCCAGACTTCAGGCCTCAGAACAAGAAAGAATGTAAACGTTTTTCGTTTGAGGAGGAACAGATGCAGCTAGAGAGATTCTGAGTGCTTGGTCCGAATTGTTAAAAGGTTTTAGTTTTCTGAGAAGGTGCAATTTTTTTGAGCACTTTTCATGTACATAATTTAATGTTGTTTTCCTGCATGGACATCTATTTTCCAGCCTCGTCTTACATATCTCATTTTTTCGCAACCCGTTTGGCTTTGGCTCGTCGCACGGCATTTTTGGTAATTTCTTGTCTCTCAACCCTGCCTAGTTGCGATCATTCCACGGACGATTTCTCATCATCCGATTCTCTTTCATGAGGTTTCATCATTTCATATTTTTGCTCACCACGTCCACCATGTCAAAAAATGCAATTTGCACCGTTCCAGTACAAGATTCAGCATGTGGACACCGCAGAATCTCAGTGCCACCCAGCCGAACGGCCTCCAACCAGGTCTTTGGCACAATGCGATCCACATAAATATAGAATGTATGTACAGTAGCCTGATGTCATTTGGTTACTTTATCCTCTACCTCATGCCACCTCCGTCACCTCATCACCTCCTGCCTTTGCCAGCTTTCCGCCTCTCATCTCATCCAAATCCACTCCATTTGACACAACTCGGCCCCACTGACCTGGCTTCACCTTGCCTGATCCAGCAACTTCTTTCCTTTGCTTTGATGCCATTTCTTGCTTTTGAGGCTGGCTTGGAATCAGGGCCACGGGTGCTTTGTGGTCATGCACGAGGGCAGGTGTGAAATTTTGGTGATGAAACCTTGGTGAATTTGAGTTGACGTTTCTGTTTGCTAGGTGAGCACAATCACGCTTCCATCCTTCGAATTCAAGACTGCATTCCAGGCCTTACCAGGCGACTTAGTTGCCTTGGCTTTGACTGCTTTCTTTTGATATTTAAGACCCAAGTGAGGCCAGAAGATCGACAGTTTGCTATGCGCGGGGCACGATGGGATATTTCTCATCGGGTCTCAGGCCCGGTAGAACGAAGCAAGTTTGGTAATCAAGTCCTGGTCGTAACAAGTGCCTTACTAGTAGTAACAAGAAGCTACTAGAAACAAGTGCATCGCTTCTAGTAACAAGTGCCTTACTAGTAGTAACAAGAAACTACCAGCGATTCAGAGATCTTACCCTTACTTAACGTCGAGGATGGCAGCCTGCAGCTATGGCAAAGAGTTGAAGGGGGTTTACCCCCAGGCTCTTGTGTGGAGTGCGATGTCCGTGAAAACTAATGTCAAACTCGAATGACCAGGTTGAGCATCAGATGTTTGGACAGACTCGTCTCACACTGAGCTTCACAACTTGGACGTTTGCAGCGTTGGATCCAAAAGTCCTTCAAGGTTGTTGGGAACAATTTTTGTTTATGTGCTGGGGGGGCAGGACGAACAACAAATTCGTGCGATACCTTGTTTTGAATTTGTTTTCCAGAACTCGTGGCCTGAAAACTGTTCATTCGGCCCATTACTGTAGTTCAGTTGTTGTATACTGTATACCCAATGTTTGTTTCTACAATTCCAAAATTTGCTGGTGTTTTTTGTCGTCAATTGAATCGAACGGCAGTTTCTTGCATTGAATTGCATGTTGTAGTTCCGCAAACTTGTTACTTGATTGGTGCTTGTAGCGTTTTGAAGGGATGCTGGCGAGACTATGGGCTCAAGGGTGATAGATTTCAGTGGATAGGCGTGAAGCGACAACGATTTCGCTGCGGCTGGAGAGTCGAAACATTTGTGGAGCGGTGTCCTTGTTTCTGAAGGCCCACTTGGAGAAGTTCAACCTGCTTTCAATTTCGTGTTGACACAGGTGCCATGTCCTATCCGCCACCAACTTACCCAAGCCATGCATATCCACCAACTGCTCCAACATACCCCCCAAACTACGACCCTCGAACTTCTCAATACGCATATCCTCCACCAGCTGACCCCCGCCCTGAAACTCCTGCTGCAACTGATCCTTACTACAGCTACCCGCCACAACCTCAAGCAGCACAACCACCACCGGCCCAACCGCAAGCTGCTCCGGCAAGTCAGCCAAACCAAACCACACAAACACCTCCTGCATCGCAAGATCCATATGCACAAGCACATTATGACTACTACCGGCAGTACTACTATCCGCCACCTGCAACCAGCTACCCAGCAGCTACAGATCAAACGCATCAAGCGCAACCAGCACCAGCTGCACACACCGCGCCGCAAGCACCCCAACCTCATGCCACTCCATTCCAAACTCATCCCCAAGCACATCCAGCCCCCCAAGCAGAGTATCCAGCATACCCACCTGCCTATCCAAGCTATCCGGGATATGATCCTTCCAGGCCAGACCCCTATGCTCATTACGCACATTACCCACCTCCTGCCTATCCGTATCCACATCCACCGCCAGGCTATCCACCAGTTCCCTACGGCTACCCGCCCCCACCTCATCAGCATCCTCCACCGGCAGCGGCCCATCAGCATCCTCCACCAATCCAGCCGGCTTCCCAGCCACAAGAGAGAGATAGAAGGGCCTCACCACGAAGAGATCGCAAGAGAACGACCAAAGTCCCCGACAGACCTGAAAAGAAACAAAAGGTTGAGCCTGATTCCCGGACAAAGCTGCTTCAGCATATCCAGCAAAAAGCTTGGAATGCTTTTTGGCTTGAAGGCATTGATCCTCCGCAGAGAGCAATCAGCAATTCAAATGTTACTTTGTTGATTCTCACAAAAGGACCTGCTGCATCCGCTTCCTCCTTTGGTTTTTTGATGGCAGAGTCACGACAGCCACAAAAGCAAAAGGATAGACAGCGAGAGTGTGTGCGAGACCTCCTTGCTCAAGTTGAACAACTCTTAGCAGGGAAATCTGAGGCAGATCTGCGTGCATGGTGCCAAATTCACGACTCCCAGACACATGGGCCCAATGGGTCTTCTGAAGAGTCTGACTTGGACAAATTAAAAGGCACAATTGAAAGCCGACTAACTGCTACAGGAAGCAAAGCAGTCGCAGTGGATTTGGATTTCAGTGCCCCCAGCACATCTGTTATTGTCTCGGTATCGCAGTTTGAGGAAGAATCCAAGAAAGATGAGCAGACTGAGTCTTCGGAAGCAGACTTTTCGGCTATGAATTTCTTCTCTGCTGATGCTGCTGCTCAGTTGGAGGAAGCTCGCAAGCTTGGTGGTCTTCTCAGACTGCAGTGGCACTTGGCTGTGGTGAAAGCAAGCCAGAGCAAGAGTCGAGACAAAGGAGAAAGGGACAAGGGTGAGAAAGGAGACGACAAGGAGAAGGATCAGTTGGGGCCTTTGAAGTTTGTTCATTCTTAAGCTGTATGATTCTGCTTCGCTTTTGTGCCATGACCCCTCTACTCCTTTTGAAAAAAAGGTCATCGGTCAAACGGGCACTTTAAGCAGTGATCCGAGGTCACATCGATCGATCCCATTGGGCGTGGGCTTCTCCACTGAAGAACCCTTGGCGAAGGCATGTTGCACGTACACGTGTCACCAGCATTCTGAAGCTCAGAAGTGTTCAACACGAAGCTCAGAAGTCTACTAGCCTCACACACATACATATATATATATATATATACACATATATACACATAATATATATACACATAAGTATATACAGAGTTTGATGCATACAGGTTTGCTTCAGTAACTCACTGTTCGACATGCCATTTTACATTATCATTGTGGAACATTTGCACGAGTATCTTGAATTGAGTTGGTGAGAGAATGCAGGACTGTGAGTACCAGCTCCTAGCCATTTTGCTTTTACTTGATTCTTGAAATGAGTACCAGCTCCTAGCCAATTTGTCCACTGCTCTGAGCATGAAGGCACGGGCTTTGCGAGCGGCAGAGGTCCGCGCTGAGGTGCTCACTGAGGTGTCCAGCCACGCGTTCAAAGCAGGGAAACATCAGAACCGTTGAATGATGCCGTTGAATGATGCCTTGTGTATGTGATAGCTATTTTTTGTAAATAGACGGCTATACATGGACTCTGATCCATGCCAGGGAGGTGACTTCAAGCTCAGACCAATGTCCCATGCAGGTTTAGTGCAACGAACTTGATTGCTCACAAACCAGCAGAACAGAGTCTGTCAACAAAGCACCAGGTTGAAGCAACAGCAACTTCTGAAATTACTGTAGTTGGCCAACCAATTAGGCACACATCTGAAGATGTAACCAAAATAAAGAAGTGGAAGGGAAACTCGACAGGAGATTGTTTTTTGGCTAGCGCTTTCAGAGGGGACTCAATCTCTTTTTGCAGCTTGTCAAGCCCATCCTTGCTGTGACGGCTAGAGCCAGGCAATGTTCCTTAAGCCCAACCAGAAGGCCGGGACTGATTCCTCCAGATTGGACAGACACACACACACACTTATGATTTAAATTATGCGTACTGACTTGACGGCGGTGCCACACGCCAGCCTAAGAAACCAAATCCTGAAAAACCAGGTGAGGGCCTGAGTGCCTTTAGTTGAAGGCCAAAGTTCCAACCCCACGATACGACGAACAGGTCGAAATGACGGCGGTCGCTCTTGCAGTGTGCACTAGCCCTTTATGGAAAATGAGGGTAACAGCTTGCAAGCGCCATAACCAAGCAGGTACGTGGATTCTGCGTCCAGAATCCATATCAGTGACTTGTAACAGCCTCTTCGTTGGACTGCCACTGTTACAAGTCAGGCAGTCCCCCTGCAATCAACAAAAGTAAAAGGTCAGGCAGAACATTCCAAAAGGATCCCCGTGATTTCAAGGGTCACACACACACACGCCTCCCCGAAGGGAGGCCTTCTTTTTCCTAAGCTCCGGACGAAGGTGGGATGGGTGAAAATAACCCTACGAAAACCGGTGAATCTCAAGGAAGGTGTCTGGTAGGCCGTGAGTGGGAGTCTGAGTTGTCCAATAGCATTGTAGACGAGGTGCAATCGTATGCATAGGACGGTAAGGGAAAGGGGTTGCCTCACGTGAGAATTTATGGATGTACCCGATGGGACGGAGGCGCCGGGAGTTCACGTAGTACAGAACGGTCTTCCAGGTTACAAGTATGTGGAACCTCCCAAGCCCGGGAGTCGCCAGTGGAGGGAAGAGCCATCCAGAAAGAGGCACGTTTCTGACCCAAGCGGGAGAAGATCACATCCTTGAGGTCATCGACCGTGTATTCGTTGTTCTCAATCTGAGCTGTGGTCAGAGTCACAGTGATGTAAATGTAGTTTAAAGGCTGATGGACCAAGAGACTGATGTCCAGTTCGAAGCGGATGGTAAGGAGGTGGGGGACTTGATCCAAAGTTTCGTGAGGTTGCCGAAGTTCACGCCAATCTGTGGGGATCAGCTGAGTCAAAGGGTTCAGGAACACGAAGTCCAGGGGAAGAAATCATTTATGGAGGGGTAGGCGTGGTGGATGCCCGAGATGGAGTCGTTGGCAACTCAAGCTAAATGGCAGCAGTATCAAACAGGTAAGTGTTGGCGGAGTAATGACGTCATGAGCAAACGCACAAAAACAAGGAAAACGCGAAAGGGAAAGTGTCAGGGTAACATAATGTAGTAGGATTGAAACTGTGTTTCGATCCGCGGCGCCGCAGAACTTCAAGGTGAGAAGTGTGAAACTTCTAGAGACGATGGGAAGCGCGTGCGGCCTCCTAAGGTAGGACTACTCTATCAGGTGTGATCCTCGTTGGTGGGAAGGTAAGGAGGGAGCAACGTAGATGGCGGTGAAGTCGAAGAGGGCGTCAAGGACATAGATCCCGAATCGGGGACAGGTACCTCCACACTTGCAACAGGAGGAGAGAATGGCAGATCAACGCCAACTTGGGTATAGATGGTCCCGCAGCCTGAGAGAGTTCCCGACGTGGAGCCGAATGAGGTGGGCCGGTGTCCGTGACAGCGTGCGACTCGTCTTGGTAGCTGGACAAATTGTGAACCAGCCATCAATGAGTTGATGCTGTTTTTCCGGAGTCAGATGGCGAAGTGCAGGATTCCAAGAGACGTCCATTTCGGTGAAGCGTTGGATCATACTCTGGATCAAAAGATCGACGTGCTCATGCTCCAGATTGTCGACAGCCTGGCGTTTGACGCCGCGGGGACGAGCGTCTGGAGGAGGCCGTTGTTGTCAAGCTGGACTACTCCCTCGGCGAGGACTTTGACCCCACGGGCCGCAATACGGTCTACATGTTTGTTCACAATTGTCCCGCCGTCTCCATGCACGGCATTGTCGGATGGCTTCATTCGCCCCAGCTCATGGAAGGATCAGAAGGACGGCGATCATTACCCCAGCTTGCTTGGGCTTCTATTGCCGGCGTTGCTATCCGGGCCACGACCACCATCGTGATGGACGCGTCGATGCCTCTATCACCGACACCCTCCCCGCTGAACTTCAATGCCACATGGCTGCAGAGCATGGTGGACGTGAGTCTGGCCGCCAATTCTTCGTGGCTGGTGAGTGCTACAACCGGGGACTTCAGCACTTCGTGGTCAAGTCCGGTGGCCTACCCT